AGGAAACAGTCCTCATCCTCCGCAAAATGTGCTGCACACATCTGAATATTTGGGTTGAACTGTTCTGGAACAGTGTTGTAAATACAACTTAACCACTGATTTCTAGTCCTGTCCTCTTTTGGAAGGCAAAAGTAGTTTTTTCAAACAAAGTAGTTTCGCTATCACAACGAAACACAGCATCTCACACGGCGGGCTAGAGTGAGCGGCGGCCGGCGGGCTTGAGAATGGCGCGGCCGTTGGATTCAACGAAGGAGCGTCCGGCGGGCTTGCGGCAACCACATGTGACGACCCCGGGCGGGACTCCGCTTTGTCCACGGTGAAAGCCGATCCGGTGATCCACAGCGCAAAGTTGTAGTATTTCCTCAGCAACCAGTCAAAGATAGTGTGCAGATATTGACCTCTCTAGGGAGGTGAATACTTCTGCACCACTTTAAGTTAAAAATATCATTCACAATGGGTGTTCTAAATGCATCTACATGGCTAGCTTTTTGGATTTCATGAAACACTGTGTACTTTGGAGAATTGTGGTGACAAATATCGGCAAGTTCAGCAGAACCATCACCGCAAAAAATGAAAGAGCGGGCCAAAGTCGAAGCAGCATGAGCGTGTATATGTGTGTGGGAAGAGTTGTGGTCTGTGACAGAACACAGATAATGAGATATCAAGACAGAAGACAGTTGACTAACGATATCAGATGAAAGATGGGGAATTGGTTTGATGCTAAATATCTCCCTGGAGTCGACGGAAATGAAGAATAGAGGCCCACTCACCTCCTCTGGCGAAACTATTGGTGAAGGAAATGTCTAAATGGACAGGGACCATCTTTGGTATTCTTGATGCTCTTCTTTCGCTTGCTAAAGAGATAAAAACAAACACGATGCATCACATACAAACAAGACATCGTAGCCCTTTCTGAACCCTAGTGAGCTGCCAACTACCGATACAGATAACATCCTAACCAAGCGGCAACCTTCCGGTCTCTCTCGTGAAACCAACACGGAAGTGACTAAAACGGCAATTCATCGACTGGCCGCCCTAACATAATGGAACCAAACACTGATATGAAATGCACTTTGTGGGTCTGTTAAGTCACTTACTTATCAGTCCTCACCTGATTCACAGACTTAAATCGCATAATACATAAATCAACAGTCCAATGTATTCTGCAATGGCCTCATCCAAAGATAGATATGAAGGCAGTATATATTTGCTGACTTGTTGTTTGGAAAAGTCTTTGCGTTTTGAGCATGGCGATGACACCTAAATGCTCTCTAGATAGGCAGCTCATTAGGTTTTGAAACCAAACACATTAGACATTAATGCTTGTAGTTAGTAAACATCTCTGAAATCCATTTCTGCAGGCCATAACAAACATGGATTATTATGGATCAATCTAGCTTATGGATGCTGGTGTGGCTCGCATGCTGTGAAAGATCCGTTTCAGGGTCTAATTACACAGTAAATGTTTTAAGGACACAACACTGCTTAAGTCAGATTCCGGTCTGGTGTCTTGTTGCAACCCATCTCGGGTATCAAGACTGAAGGTCTGTTTTGAATTGAGAGAACTTAAAGCTGCCATGGAGCACTATCATCAGAACTAAGATGAGCCATTTGCTGGTGAGAGGAGGCTGCTTTTTACCCAGCAGGTGGGGATAAATGGAACATTATGGTGGCGACACTGCGTAGCTGACGGGGCAGGATCTGTGTGGTCTGAGCCATCTGCAATATGGCTGTGGAGAGCAGTGAGTGCAAGGAGAGTGATGGATGGGAGGTGACCTCGTCATATCCTGCTCTCCTTACATAACCACACAATTGTGCTCCAGTTCCTTTGGAAACCAGTCCAAAACATAAATAACATTTTGTGCAACCAAGAGGAAACCAGGAGGAGATAAGAGCCTTGAAGAACACAAAAAGGGTCAAAAACAAGTCTAAACAAGAAAGCGAAGAATCAGACGATGAGTGAAGGATGCACCTGATATCTTTGCAATACCTGGGGACAAGCCGATGAGGGAGCGGTTGGTGAGGGTGTTGTTGCCGTTGGGTTTGAAGTAGATGGGGATGGAGCTGAGGATGGCCTGCAGGTATTTCTCCTGTTCCAGACTGCTGGAGGTCTCTGAGGAAGTCGGAGCTGGTAACAGCAAGAGAGCATCATTAGAACAATCGTTTCTCTCTTGAAAATCTCACATAGCCAGACCTTTGAGTAAATTAGTCAACTAGGGGGCCAAAGAAAATGTCCAAGCGTATCACAGTAGGTATTAAAATTAACTATATTTTAAAATAATTAAAACACATACACAGATGCACACACAAAATCAAGATGTAAACAGAAATAGTTTCCCCCTTCAATAACTTATTTGTATTGGAAAACATACAAAACAAATAGAATCACAAAACAAATCATGTAGTTGGAATGGAGATTCCTGCCTGCACAAGAACCTGGACCACAGCTAAGACCATGTGATGCACACACTCCCATGAGTTATTTTATGTGATAGTTATATGTATTCTAAATAAACTACAAACAAAAAATATATAAATTTCTTTTTTCCTCACATTCTTTCTTGTAGCAATTCCCTCTCAGTCACACACCTGACAGCTCATTATGCAGCTCATTATGCAGGCCTTTGTCTTCTCAGGTATGAATCACAGCATTATGCATGATCATTCACGCCTACTCGCATATACCTTTTCTACACAAAAAGTGTCTTAGAAAATTTAAATCAATATATTGTTTTCTGTGAATGAGTGAGTAAGATGATTTTCACATAAGTTTGAAGCAAAAACTCTAGACTTCAAGATCAGTTCTCAAAAGTCTTGTGATCAAATGTTCTGTATGTGTTTTATGGCCTTATTTCAGTGACTTTAAAATTGTAGTTTTTCACTAAGCACGCATAAACGTTGTTTTCTCAAAAACACAATCACGTACATACATGCTGCTCACATATTATTGTAGCCCAGTTTGTGCTGATTACGGTGTTATTAAACTTTAGACATTCAAATGTTTGTAAGCAACTGAAAAAAGCACAAATGTCAGGGCATGTCAAAACTTTTCCAGGCCCCAAAACACCCTCGGACCCCAGAGGGTTAAACAAATACATCAATACTCCTAGTTTCTGGTAATAAAAAAAGTGTTTTCAAAACAAGCAGATGTTTCATAATTACAGCAGAAATCCTAGAGGAAATATCTTATGGCACCAATATTTAGAATATTATGTTGAACAATCAGGGGCATCATGTCAAAAATGTTGAGAACAGGACTAAATGGCCAAAGGTCTGGTCCACATTGCAGCTTATTCTGGCCAAAAACCACCTACGACAGGAAGACACTGACTCAGACATTACAAAATGACCCACCACAGTTTGTTTTCTTTACATTTCGTTTAGGAGCGAGTTTTTCTGAAAATAATAGACAGCCATGAAAAATATTTAACTAATGCTGTGGTACCTACCTTTGTCAAATCAAGAGATTATTTCATCTTCAAAAGTGCTTGTTGTATCAAACTGGTACTTTATAAACAAAAACCTTGTGTTCTTATATTCCCGAAAGTTGCATGAAGTCATCCAATCAAGATTAGAGCATGCCAGATTAAGGAATCACTGCCCAGTGTTTGCAACATGCATTTGATAGTCAGTGAATAGCAAGCTGACTCAGGCTGAGACAAATCTTTTATCAGAATTATAATCTTAGAGCAAATATTTACAGCCCTGTCTGATTGTAAACCATCCCCAAGGTTGCTTGATGTAATATGCATATTTAACTGTACAAACGTACCTGCTGAAGAAGGGTTCTGAGACTTGAAAAGTCCAACCACACTCTTGCTGTGAAAACCACCCGAACGAAGTAAAACCGCTTTGGTGCGAGGGTGTTTCCAACACACGACTGGCAGACGGTTGTGCCGGTAGCAGCGGGACACCTTATGGAGGCTGCTGTCCTGAACGGTTTGAGGCACCACCAGGAGACCCGGGTAACTGTAAACCGAATATTATCACCATTTAGAAAAACACTCATGATTCAGCAGTTGTAGCGGAGGGATTCCTTTGAAAAAGGATTTCAATTTCTTTCATTGTTTTTTATAGGGACTCTGTTCTAAAACCTAGTGAGCTACCCACCTATATACATTGAGAGCACTTAAAAGTTGAAATGAAATGGAAGTATCAACAGAGCCTTTCTTCCATATTGAGATGTACATCCGAGCAAAACAGTTGGCTGTTGCTTGAATTTTCAGATGTGAGCATTGCACACAAAAGTGGAGTGAAGAGCACTATGCAGTTTGCAGAGTTGTAGGCAGCAATGCTGCTCACTAGGCTTTTGAACAAAGTCAAGGTGTTGGGTTGCAACTTGCCTGCGACACAACGAGTAGAGCCTGTTGACTGCCGTAACACGGAACTGCTCTCCGCTTTTAGACCGTGTGGAACTAGCGCTAATGGTACCCAAGCCCAGCCTCTGATAGTCACGGAAACAGGCTCGCTCCACTAACTGCTCCATAGTGGACTTCTCTGAGGCCTTCAGTGTGCTGCTGGTGGGGGGCTCACCATCATCTGAGACTGAAACATCAACATCCCACAGCTGAAGGGCCATGACTGCTGACATAGAATATTTTTCTGACATTGTGAAATATACTTACTGGAGATGTCATCATCCTCATGCCACGTCATGCGACTGCCCTTTTCGTTTTTCTTCATAGTGGACTGGCGGCCCATTGTGATCATGCCTGCCCTTTTAGCCCCTTTCACAATGGTCTTCGATAGTGTTCTACAAGAAACAGATTTTCATTTAATTGAACAATACATCCAAAATTCTGTCATTATTTGCTCACCCTCATTTTGTTCCAAAGCTTTATGACTTATTTTCTTCCATGGAACACAAAAGGACAATTTAACAACATCTTGGCCACTCTTTTAAATATAATGAAAGTGAATAAGCACTGGGGTCAAGCTCCAAAAATCACAGAAAAATATAATTAAAGTAGTCCATATGACGTGTGTGCTATATTCCGAGTCTGCTGAAGCCATACAACAGCTTTGTGTGAAGAACTGATGGAAAATTAAAGAGATTGTTCACCCAAAAATGAAAATTATCCCATGATTTACTCTACCTCAAGCCATCCTAAGTGTACATGACTTTCATCGTTCAGACGAATACAATCAGAGTTATATTAAAAAATATCCTGGCTCTTCCAAGCTTTATAATGGAAGTGAATGGTGGTTGAGATTTTGAAGGCCAAAAAGGGGGGGGTTCTTTTTCTGGACTCCTTTTTAATGGTTAAATTACATTTTATTAATCAAAAAGAATGTCGAATTAATTAAAATCATAAACTTAAACAATTTAACATCAATTTATTAAAAGTTTAACAAATATAATAGTAATATATTTCTGCCAATGCCCTCAAGACTAAAGTCTCAAATCCAAAGAGATATTCTTTATAAAAGTTAAGAGTCAGCCACGCCTACCTAAAACGGCTCGTTCTAACACGCCCCCACATACCTACGTCACTATCTGGGAAGAATTATACCGGTTTCACGGTACATGATGGTATTTTTTTTTCATGCATGACCGGGTGTTAACCATATTTTCTACTGATTGAGAGAGGAAATAGTGCAGTATATTGACTTAGAATCATGATGAGTGAATATTGTCAAAAAATACCACACTAAATAGTGACTAAACACGACCCCTTTTAATGTTAACCAGGAGTCACTCTCATTTATAATCAACAGATGCTAAAATCAACATGCATCTACACTAAAGACCGGCTATGCGGTTGTTTGGGCTATATTACTTTTTTGTCTCATGCAGCGCACTGCCTGCGTCTGAGTAACAAACTAAAAAAAACAACAAACAAAAAAGTGCATGTGATATTAACAGATGAACTACGCTCATATTTATAATTCCAAACAGTGGGGGGATCTCTCCTCAACAACCACCAGTGTGCAGCATCAGACGGCAGCCACAGTACAACGGCACAAGTGCGCTCACCACACACCAGCTACAGGTAGAGAGGAGAGAGAGTCATAGAGCCAATCAAGTGGTTGGGGATTATTAGGAGGCTATGATTGACAAAGGCCAGGGGGGCAATTTGGCCAGGACACCCCTACTCTTTACGAGAAGTGCCATGGGATTTTTAATGACCACAGAGAGTCAGGACCTCGGTTTAACGTCTCATCCGAAAGACGGTGCTTTTTTTGACAGTATAGTGTCCCCGTCACTATACTGGGGCATTAGGACCCAGACAGACCACAGGGTGAGCACCCCCTGCTGGCCTCACTAACACTTCTTCCAGCAGCAACCTAGTTTTCCCAGGAGGTCTCCCATCCAGGTACTGACCAGGCTCAACCCTGCTTAGCTTCAGTGGGCAACCAGTGGGCAACCTTGGGCTGCAGGGTGATATGGCTGTGGCTTTTTGATTTTAGCAAACCTTACTTTCAGATAGCAGCGAGTGTTTGAAATAACTTGATCCGATGTGGATTATGATCACCATACAAGGCAGAAATATTTATAAGCGATGCAAAAGACTATGCACGCTAGCCATTAACGTTACCATAGTAAACATGGTAAATACGACCGCTTGAAGAAATCAGACGTCAGCTTCTCATTCTCTATCACAATCGTGTAATTATTTAGTAACATATTTTATCTGTTATAAGTCTTGTCTTGTCTACGCTCCACGTATGTCATAAAAATATAATAATGGTTTCTGTTCGGGAGCTCCCTCTGCTAATCAGGTCGTATTTTTGATGGAGAAAAAAATATAGAAATAATAATTCTTCCTAAATGTGATGTATAGCTACTGTGACTACAAATAAACAGAAACAGACTCAACTGAATAAGTAGGGTATTTGTCCTCTTTCTTTTGTGAAATAGTAGTTCATACCACTTTATTTCTGTGTGACTAATTTTCAATCCTGATAAATTAATTCATTATGATCAATGTATCACTTATTATTGTAAAACACTGATGCTTTTGGATTTAAATCTTTAACAAAACATGCAAACAAACGGCTGTTTTTATCATGTTCGTTTTGTGATCGCAATAGTTCCAGTGACTTATTTCTTAGTTTTCTGATAATTTCTCTTTGTTGGTGAAATGATGGGGTTGTGTGACGTTGTTCCAGAGAGGCGTGTAAAGGGCGGGTTTTAGTGAAGCGCAGCGGAGCTTCTGGCCCGACGGTGGAAACGCATTGTGATTTTGGGCTCGGTGCTACAGGTCCGAGGCTATTGGCCCCGACTGGCCTGTTTAAAGCACTGGCACGACAGTGGAAATGTGGCTAATGAGTCATTCTTTCAAACGATTCCTTAAAACAGCTGATTCAGAATGAAGCAAATAGCATTCTATACGTACGGGTCATTGAATCATTGACCACCTGATTAGTTAAATAACACTGAATCATTTAGTAACAAAACACTGTGGGTTTCTAAATGATGCACAACTGTTCTGTTGAAATCTTTGTTTGGAACTATTTTCAGCAGACAATATTGTTTCTAAAATGTCTAATATTAACTACTTGCTGATTGAACTGTTGTATAAAATCAGTGTCACATTTGCAATCATTCTGATATTCGGGAAAATAGATCACAAAATTCAAGAAAGAATTCCGTAAAGTCACAAAATTGTCTTTACCTAGTGGGTCATGAGGAGTGCCTTTGAAAACGATACGGTAAGTGGTGAGGAAGAGTGCTCCCTCTGCTGGCAGGATGTGTGGCCCTCCCAGAAGCCCGCCGGTGGCCTCTTCTCGACCATCAGGGTCCAAGACCACCCGTAGCCCCTCGGACACCAGCTCCTCTCCGGGTAGCAGGGCAGGCCGCAGGATCTTGGGCTGGGAAAAATCATTGTCATTAGAGTCTGCTGAAGACCAGGAGCAAATGCTTTGGTACGGAGATGATTATGTTCACTATCTTTCTCCTAAACAGAAATATAAGATTACACTGTTATTCAGTTTGGACCAGAAAAAAAGCCAAGTCTTTATGGTCTGCTTTTTGACAGACAACAAACGATTCTCTTTATGATGGAGTAAGCATCATTTATTAGGTTTAGTTCCAGGCACAGTAATCACACTCAAGCCTTGTCTGTTTACCACCAGAGACACAACCCATCAATTTTTACATTGTCCAGAAAGCGTGTTCCGTCCTGGCCCTGTCCTGGAGTCATTATCTAGCTCATTAGTTGGATCCAGAAGGGTGACAAGAACTGAAACCGAGCCGATAAAAAAATAAATAAAAAATTGGGAACTACAGCAAGTATTTATGTGGAAATCTGCGGTATTAGAAGAACAGCCCACCTCACACTGGGGATGCCAGTTGGGTTCTCCATCAGTTACTTCTCTGGATTTGCACACTAATAAACAATCTACCGTGGTTTCTTTTTCTTCCGAAAAACAAACTTGGTCCTGTACAGTGTAGCGTCTGGACCAATCAAACACACAATTTTTCATTTGATTTAACAAATCAGTTATTCATTAGATTAACAAATCGTCACAGTCCCCTCACCCAATAAACTGGATGCCAGGATGTCTGCAACGACACCAGGCCCCCCCTGGTTACAGAAACCAGGACTTTATCCAGGCTAGAATTCCCTCTTCAACCAAAGCAGCTTAGAAGTGTCTCCATTTATCATCAGCTTTGACTACACACGATTTTAGGTTCTTCACTGAAGTCAGGCAGTATTTACTGCAAAGTTTTTATAAACAATACTATATTGGTTCAATTTTGATGCATTTTAATGTTTTAAATAATAGATTTATATCTTATAATACAAAAAACTGTTGCTAAAATGTGTATCTTTAACTACACATCATCTCATGAAGAACTAGTCAGCAAGTTTCACAAACCTTGTACACATCCCCTGTTGTTCATATTTGTTAAGAACTGATTTGGACTGTTTTTGCTTGTAAGCAATACTTGATCTGTGCATATTTCTCTCCTGATTCAGACGAGATGACTGGGAAAAGCAATATTATTTATAGGGGACTCCTATTTTAGCTGGAATCAACAGTTTGAAGTAAAAAAAAAAAAAACCATCATGATGGATTGATTTCACACAAACATGCAGCTTTTCACTTCACAAGACATTAATTGACAGACTGCAGTTACTTGGGGCTCATCCACACGAAGCCAGCTTTCCCCATCCGATCTTTTTTTCTTCGTTCTAAAAAGAAATCCGTAAACACGGCGTCTTCTCAAAAATATCTGCATACACACAAAACCACTGAAACTGACTCAAAACAATGTAGTATACATGCCAGACCAGTATGAGGCGCTGTAATTCTGCCACAGAAATACACTAAAAACGGTGAACAAGACTTGGAGCATGCCATAAACCCTGCGCGCTGTATACACGTGGGGTGATGACATCATCGTTTCACAAAATATACGGATTGGCTGTACACATGAAAAGCAAGGGTGTCGTTTTCAGATTCATTCACTCTGGGACGCGGTTTCAGGCTCCCAAAATGCCAGATCTGTCTGGACGAATCGCCGATATGATACAAAATTTTTCCTTATACAGCTAAATGCGTCTCCATGTGTACTTGGATTACTTTTGGATTATTTTGATGTTTTTATCAGCTGTTTAGACTCTCATTCTGATGGCACCCATTCACTACAGAGAATCTATTGGTGAACAAGTGACGTAATACCAAAGAATATAGAATACCCAAGATGTGTCACTCGTATAGTTTTGAATGGGGAAAAATGCAACAGTCAATATGGCCACTCTATCGAATGAAGCCCCGCCTTCTGAGCAAAAGAGCCAATCCCTAATCGGTAAAGTCAGCACATCACTGTAGAAGTTCTGGTTGCTATAGAAACTAAGCGTTCTGAGACGTGCGCCTAGGACTGCACATGCGCACTGGCTGGTCTAGCCTATAAAGTCAGCAAGTCACTGTAGAAGTTCTGGTTGCTATAGAAACAGTAAGCGTTCTGAGACGTGCGCCTAGGACTGCACATGCGCACTGGCTGGTCTAGCCTGAAAAATAACGCTATTTGAGCAAAATAAACAACGTTTATGATACAGTTGTCAGATTTCATTGGTGATTTCAAATATGAAATTTTTCATACAAGCTTTGAAATAGCTTTCACTAGTGGAGAGCAAGTTCTTACCTTCTGAATGGGAGGCAGTCTTCTGCTTTCTCTATGAACCGTTTCTAAAGTCTCCATCTGCATTGCCACAAGACCTGAAGAAACAGATAAATACCTGATTCAGGAAACTTTGTGGACAGGTTAGGGTCACTGGGTCACAGTACTATCCATTTTCCTACTAAAACCGCTTAATATATTGAATTGTCCTTCAGAGTGAGTCCATCTACTTTGAATTGCATTTTTTAAATAGTGTACAATAATTATTTTCCATGCAGTTCTGACCACAAAGAGTATTTGTGAAGCAATACATTCATTTCTCACAAGAGAGGACTACTGAAATCAACTAGTAAAAATGGTGAGCACTTACAACCTTTGAAAATATACACCTACCCTTATACATATATATATATATATATATATATACAGTGATATATATATATATATATATTACGCAAGTTCATGTCTGTGTACAGCTGTCAAAATGTTTATGTAATAAAAGTATAAACGCTCTGTGTTGAGTGAGTGTGCACACAGTGTTTTACCTGGAATCATACTATGCAGACTCTTGATATGATCCTGTGTCACTCCACTCTCTGTGCACACTTTGTCAATGAAACGAGAGATGAATCTCCCCACAGAGTTGGCAACATCACTGGTCTCAGAGTCTTCAAATCCGCTCTCAGTATCAAAGCTCTCGGCCACACTCCCTGCAATACTGTTTATTGCACAACACTAGTTATATTGCAGACTTAAACACAACACAACACAACCAACAACAGCAATGTTACTCTCAATATTCTTAAAATAACACAGAGCTATTTAAAAAGCTTTGATGTAACTCTGCTACTTTAGTTTACCAACCCATCACAATTCAATGTCTGTTTAGTCTGTTGCACACAATTGGTCTGAAATACCACGGTTAGGAAGCAGAAGGCTCTGATATCTCCTGGTCTTAGTGCACATTGTGCTGGTGGAAAAGTGATGTAATTCCCTAACTCTGTTTACAAATAGAGAGAGCAGTTCCTGACATTTCAGGCAGAAAATAAATCAAGTCTATAGTAAAACTAGGCAATACGGATTTTCCCCAATCAATGCAACTTTTACAGAAGAACTTTTCATTAACAAATCTTGAATGAGATTATTACATTTTATTAAGAAAATCTGAGTTGTGTTCACTCTTGCAGAACCGTACATGGATCTGGGTCAAAACCCCAAATCTCGGTTCTTCCAAAAGCCAAAAGTATACATCCGTTGTCTGTTTTCAGCTCCAGCTCTCGTACAATGAGCGTGACGCAATTTTCATTATCAGCACAGTGATGCTGAACGCGTTCATACGATCACGATCAGTGGAGTATATTTTAAAAGGATTGCGCACATAACTGTGTGTGAGACGGAGTGGACACTGAAAATTAAATATATTAGGGCCTTAAAGCAGGGTTTCCCAAACAGGGGTTTGAGTTGATGAAAAGCTAATTATTAATTATATTGAATGTAAAATTAAAATAAATATATGGGCTGCACATAATCATGATATAGCTGAGTGTGGTTGTCAAATCAAATGCTTCATTTTAGTTAAATAACTGTATAGTCATAATCATATATTAGTTTTTTATTTTACGGTACATTTGTAATCTACAACAGTAATATATTACTGTCTTTATGTTATAATTACAGTTAAAACACTACTTCTACTTCTAATAAATAAATAAATAATATAATTTTTTTAATATGATCAACATCAGAGAACAGTGAAAATGCCTATGTGTTGAAATATTAAATTCAAATATCTTATTTCAAATAAATATTTTATGTCTCAGCAGTTTGGCTGACAAAAAAGTTAGTGAATTCCTGCCTTAAAGGATTTTTTCCTATTTTATTGTCTGGCAGGTGAAAATAATAAGTCCTATCACTTAGTAAAGTAATAGCATACTTCTCAACAAAAGACATAATTTAAAGAGTCATTTACAAAATTCCCTAATCCTAGGTGCAAGTGAAACTAAAATGTTATGCTTGCCATATCAAACACCACTAATTAAAAATTAGTGAGGAGAAAGAAAACATGTGACATCTGAGACTAGCACTTAAAACTCTCAGTGTGCCGTTATTGGCCTTGAACATTTTCTGAGAGGAAGAGAAAAGGACAGGAGGAGGGAAAGATCAACTCTAGAGACATGCATTTGGCCAAACATCACCTGTTTTGACTATGAAGCCTCCCAAAACTCACACATATTATTATTACTACAAAGCTCTACATCCCGATCCCTCCATCTTTTTTTGGTTATGGCTGAATGCTCCCTTCACTTCATTGTTCTGCTGTAGCAAAGCAGCACTCCGGCTACCGGAGTGGCTGAGAAGGATGTGGTGTATAACTGGATAGGACTCTTGAGGAACTACACCAGGCTACTTCTATTTACATTCTTGCTCACTTTCTGAATCAACTGTATAGTTTTCTGCTGAAGACGCTGAGAAACAATCAAGCTGATTTATATTGGAATGTGTGTTTCGTAACCAAGGTGAAAGGACATCCTTCAGGCCCTGCTGTGCGTCTTTTCCATTTTAACTGATCTGATGTATGCCAGACGTACTGGAGCACCACTGACCTGCAAAAGTGGTTAGAGCCATAACCAGTTCTCTTACTTTACAGGACTACAAATGACACATTGAAATTTTGCTTCTCTGTGACATTTTTATTTCAAAGCAATGAAACCGATTTGAATTATTTTCAAATGATTATGTAATGGTATAAAGCAAACTGTGCTTGAAATAAGCTGTTTGCATAAGCATTTTTTATAGTTTTAAGAACCACCTTTGGCAAAATGATCTCCGATTTGAACACTTTGGCTGACTCTTCTGCTCAGATTAGCTCCAAGTTAGTCAAATGAAACTGGTTCAACAGTTTTCAAATAGTGCCACAAAATGTTCTTCTTCACAAACTCCATTATTAAAGCTGTAATTGATTTCAGTGGTTTATCTCCAGATCCTCCAGACACTGAATAAAGCAGCCACATCTAAACACACATAATGATTTATACTGTAGGCTAAGTTTTATAATTGGCAAAAAAAAAAAAAAAGCCTAGGGGTTTTACTTAATATTATGCACTATAATTTTAAATGCACATAGCATGATGCTGCCACCCACATATTTCACTATATTTATTGTGTTTATGAGTTGGGGGCAGCATTAATTTACTCAGATTTCAGATCTCATTTGAGCACAAAATATTCTCCCACATCTCTGCTATAATGAGTTAATATTACGTCTTTTGACAAAGTGTAAATTTCTTTCACACGGTTCCTTTTGAGTTTATTTCGTTCCATCCTCATAATCCTTCACATTATATGGGCTGCTGCATCTTTAATCTGTACTGAATCTCCTTCATACATGATCACTGACCTCTATGTGGGTTCTCCTTGATCGCACAGAGAATTCTGAGTGACGACCTTTATTAATCAATGTGTGGGAGGTTTGTTGTAGTGATTTGGACTTCCTGAATTGGACACCGAAACACACATTTTTCCTTTCTTCCTTTCGCTCTAACTTCAGATTCACAACTTGCACAATGATCCATTAAACTTTGTGGAGAAAATGTGGAAGATATTTTAATCATTTGCAGGTAGAGGTCAATCTTAAGGCAAATGAGTTTGCAGGAAGCATACTTAACTTTTAAATGTATTATTTTATTTGCATGTTCTGAGCTAAAATGGCATATTAAATGTTTTATTTCGAGTGGTTGGAAAACTGCATTCAGTAAAGTGAAACAGCAGAGATAACCAGTAACTCAGACAGTAGCAATGCCAATGTCATGGGTTCGATTCTCAAGGAAAGCAGAAATGTGTGCCTTGAATGAAATGTAAGTTGCTTTGGATAAAAACGTGCTAAATGCATGAATGTATGGTAAGTAACATATATTCTGCAAGGCATTGTAGAAGGAAGTCTCTTGCCTGTTCGTGAGGATGCTGTTGCTGCCGCTCTCCCAGTCGGCTGCAGGTGTGGAGCGCAGCAGCTTGATTTTGCTGGTGTCCAGCGGTACGAGCAGGTAGACCATCAGGCTGGCGTAGTGGATGGCCTGGCTGAACACTGTGCTCTCCTCGTTCTTCACCAGCTCCTGCTGCTTCTCTTTGCTGAGACTGGGCCAAGCACGTAACTGCTCTGCTGCGAGGTCCATAGCGGTTCGTTCTGACTCACTGGATGCTGTGGACAGTGTACTCTGTTCCTGATTAAGAAAGATGGTCAGATGAAGAGATGAGAAACAGGGTTAAATGATATCCCTTTTCTACTGAAATTGTGCCAGGGTCAGTGCTTGCCAAGTTGTGTCGATCTCTATCAAAACCAACCACGTTTTGTCTAACTTGAACAACAACCAAACTCGTTACTACAAAATGTACTCATAAACAAACAAGGCACACCGGTCTTAGTTAACAAACCTTACACCTAGTAAGAGTTCTTGTTTTATTATCCTTTTATCGCTTATAAACATAACTGCAATCATAAATCAATCATAAACATAACTACAATGTTAAGTGGGTCAATTATAAATATGATTGTTCAAAATAAAGTTAAGGGTAAATCTAATTTGAAATGTGTGTGCCAAATTCTTTAAAATGAAAAGTGTTCATGTTGGCTTTTTTTTGGGCAAAAGTTTTCATTTAAGAACACTTGTGGTCATGTGGTGTAACCATCAAATAAAAATACTTAAATACTTAAATCTTAATTGTTTTCACAATTGTTTTTGATGTTCTTAAAACCTATTTTAAGTAAACCTACAAATTATAATTCATAAATATCAGGGTTGCACCATATGACAGTTAAAAAGCTAACCTTGTCTTGTCATGAAAGGTGAAATTATCTGAGATTTTAAGACAAAATTTAAATTTAAAATATATATTTAAAAATACAATTTAAAATAAAATTTAGTTCAGAAATTAAAAACAGAATATGTGTATTCATATCATTGCATTAAATTAATTGCATTTAAATTTTTTTTAAATAAATCATATTTCATAAATTTAGGGATTAGTCAAACAAAAAAGTCGATTTCAAGACTTTACCTTGATCTTGGCGGTGATGAGTTGTTTTTCCTCAGGGGCGGTGAGGTAAAGCGCTCTGATCTGGTTTTGCACCTCAGAGTAGAAGGTGGCCTCCCAGAATTGCTGATTGGTCCAGATGGGATGGTCTTGTATGCAGGTGTAGGCGAACTGGTCCACGCCAGCTGCCAGTTTCTGTAAGCAAGAAGATGGATCAGCGGGCAACACAATGTGAACTCTGGCAGCCTGCTAAGATAAACACAGTGCCTGCTACTGTCTATATAACGGGTCAAATCAGCCGAGCTGGGGTCCTCACAGCTCATGAAACCAACTGGGCTGTACGGCCCGTGTAAAGGAGTCCATTAAAAAAACATGGTGAAAACAGGAAAGTAACACACTGCTGCCAATGGTTTTAGGAGCAATCTATCATTTTTAGTGGTCATAATGTTCTCAACACATACAGTAGGCCTCATACAGAGAGATTGCAAAGCAAGACTTTGAAAACATGACCCTAGTGTTTTTCTGTGCTTTCCGACGCAAACCAGATCACCTGTGGACTGCTTACTGACTCTAAAGGACATCTGCTAAAGCGATGAAGGCTGTATTTATTGTATTTACACATACGGATGTAGAACTTAGTGGATTGCACACCATGCATGACGTTTTTCTCACCTTCCATTGGTCTGTACAGCTCACACCTCCAATTAAATTACCATCTAATGTCTTCTTCTCAAAACCCCTGAATATACGTTATGACAAACTGTCTTTGCTACTTAGTTTCCTTACAGCTAACCAAACCACAATCACAAGTGAAACGGCAGATGGAAAGAGGGAAAGAGAAAAATCAGCAGCAATGGAAAGACGGAGGCAAACATCGTAATAAGCAAGAACAGATTCTGGCTGTGTCCCAATTAGCATACTTTACTAGGCACTAAAAGTATGTGCTTCACTGGTGATAAAAAGTACATACATTTGAGGATGTAGAAAGACAATACGCTAGTGTTGGGACATATTTAATTCCACAAACCTCTGTTGCATACTGTGTGTGTTTGATGCAATTCCTTTTAAATTTTTCCTGCATTAAAAACTGCTGGGGCTGATTTGGTCTCACTGCTATTTGCTATTAATAAACAATGTCGTAAGAGAACCATCAAACTCCTCTACTATATCACAACAAGTTGTAGGTAATGATATATGAACAAGAATGCATGGATGCATTTGAAATAGTACACCATCTAAACTTACAGAATTTACATTACATGAAGTGAGGTGTACTAAATGCAAACTTGTTGCATCCCTGTCCAGCATTATCTGTCATTCAGGCCACCTCAAATCTCAAACGTTCGTTGAAAAAAAAAAAGAGACTTCTTGATGCTTCTTCACTGCAAATCACTGCTATTCTGAACCCTTGAGATAAAGATGGTTCAGGAAGATGGTAGCTGCTTTGTTTATTGTGGTCGTGTATCAGCTCCAACCAGTGCATACTATTTACAATAGACAGCATGCAAACTGGGACACAACCTCTGAAAGCGAATGGCTTCAAGATCACATCAGCAGAGGCACTTGGAAAGCCCCTTTTGCTGTTTCAATAAATCCAAACCCAATCATGTATAATCCCTGTATATCTGACGGCTGTTTCATTTTAACATATATGAATTTTCCCACTCTCTATCACTGGGAAAGTACCAACAAAGACATTAATGTCAAGGTTTGTTTGGACAGTTGATCTTTCCCTATGTAGTCTGGAATGTCTAATATGTATTTCAACACCAGGAGACCCTATAATACCGACTTGTCCACGTCAAGCTGTGCTGATAAATCCAGCTAATCCATAATTCTAGCAGATATAGCTAAAGATGGCCAGGTTGAAGCTTTGAGAACTTGCAGATATTCTACCCTTGAGATAAAGATGGTTCAGGAAGATGGTAGCTGCTTTGTTTATTGTGGTCGTGTATCAGCTCCAACCAGTGCATACTATTTACAATAGACAGCATGCAAACTGGGACACGAAGCGAATGGCTTCAAGATCACATCAGCAGAGGCACTTGGATAGCCCCTTTTGCTGTTTCAATAAATCCAAACCCAATCATGTATAATCCCTGTATATCTGAAGGCTGTTTCACTTTGACATATATGAATTTTCCCACTCTCTATCACTGGGAAAGTACCAGCAAAGACATTAATGTCAAGGTTTATTTGGACAGTTGATCTTTCCCTATGTAGTCTGGAATGTCTAATATGTATTTCAACACCAGGAGACCCTATAATACCGGCTCATCTAGCTCATCCATTATTCTAGCAGATATAGCTAAAGATGGCCAGGTTGAAGCTTTGAGAACTTGCAGATATTCTGAGGCTGTCTAGACCCCATTTCCTCAAGGCTGACATACAGATGGAGCTGAGTGAAAAAGTGGCAAGAAATGCAGCAGGAGAATCAGTGCAGTTGTTATTGTAGGATGCGGACCAGGAACGCACAGCCAGAGTAGTATTATTTGTCTTCAACATGGTTGTGACTGGCAGCAGATGGGGGTGGATGTGTGCAGATTTGCCGGTTCTCCAACAGCAGATGTGAGGGGGTCAGTTTGACCTCTTCCAACTGTACAGCCTTGACAACAGAGCACATGTCAAGATGTTGCATTCCAGGGGGGAATCTATTTGATCAGACTTCATGAAAGTGTTTAATGGCGGGCAGGAGATGTGGAGTTAAAACTGATGCCCTTGAATGAGTAGAAGACATTTTGATTGTCTTTCTTCTAAATAATAGAGGTCTCAACTTGTTGGTTGTCAGTAGGCGTTTTTGCTCATGTCACACCAAATCACCAACCTTCTTCTAAAAAGAGACTTTTTGATTCTTTTTCACTGCATATTGCTTCCATTCTGAACCCTTGAGATAAAGATGGTTTAAGAACATGGTGGCTGGTTTGTTTTTGGTCCAAGATGGCCTATCAGCTCCAGCCACCTTGACCTAGAAGGTCAACCAGGTTGACCTTGGCCGCTTCTGGCAGTGTTTTATTTAGTTGAATTTCCCAATAGGGATAAAAAGCAAATGCTTAATTTGTGTCAGAAAAAAAAAAAGATCTCACTGTGATCCATGAACAGCACCGGGTAATGATTTACCAACATTATGGAACAAATCCCTGCTTACTTAATCCTAAGAGACATTCCATTTGCAAGTCTATGTGAGCTAAAAGACATCTAGGATTAAACAGCGCATTTACAATTATGATTTATGTCAAACAAGAAGAGCAACAAAGAACATCAGGGCAAAATGTTAAATGGTTGAACAAACAGAGCTGTCTGGCCCATCGGTATGCAGGACATGCTGTAATCATGTCCCACAATGCAAAGTAAACAGGAGAAGGTCAAGCTATGGTCAGCGAGAGCCATGGCAGGGTTATGCTAGCTCGTGAATTGACAAGAAATTAATGTAACGCCTCGACGACAACAAACACCCCAAAACCATTTCTGCTGAACTGTGGCTGAAACCCTTGCCTGCTGCAGACAGTGCCAGAGACATTCGTGGTACATTCAAACCACAATTGTATGCACAAATGACATTCATTTATTATTTTAAGATACCCGATACTTTACATAACAAATACAGACATGACATTATTTACTGACAAACACAATGGAAAATCTCTCCCTTTCCCATAATACAGTCACGTGGATCTATGCAGCATGTGACAGTCAGTGCAAGTGGTACGATGGTCAAAACTGGACCATTCCTATTATCATATTAATATGGCATATTAAGGCCTATATTTAAATGTATGTATTTCAATTGCATATCAAATTTTCATTCATTTGGATAACAAGGTTTAGTGTAGAGACACTACAGGCAAAAACACTTTTTTCATGCATCTGTCGGTTTTGAGATTTTGGGCTTTTTGGCTTTACATAAAGTATTTTTAGCTAGTGGAAAGAAAACATTCAAAATACACTGTTAAGTGTTTCTTTTATAGGACTTTTTAGATTTGTGTCTGTACATTTCAATTACAATACATACCTTTAAAGGCCGTTTTCTCAAAATGGGATTTTTCTCCCACACTAAGCTAAAAATCTTGACTTCAGCAGCACTTACACACACCAAACTTTACAAACTTTGCCGGGTTTTTATTTTTATTCTTTTACAACATTTCATTCCTTAAAAATGGTGAAAATGTATTTGTTTATATTATTTTATGGCTGTTCATATCCAAGATCCTCTCTGTAAACACGTTTGACTCTAACATGTCAACAAAATGAAAAAAAAATAATAATAACTTGGCTTCATCCAATGTTCAGATTTTTGTTCTTTGTATGCAAATTAGTGCATATTTAATTAGACAACTCCTCATTTGCAGAAAACTTGTACTCATACCAATCTCGTACATTTTAACTAGGTGAATTTCACTCATTTTACAGCATATTTGAATCATATTCCATTTTTAACAAATTGCATTTTTCACAATTAACAGATTTATGCTGAGATATGAGTAATTTTATTTTACGTTATATCACAATATAGGTAATTTTGCTTTAAATAAGGTCTTTATGATACCAAAATTTTTGATACCATAGAAATTTTATAGCTAATTCTTGTCAAGTAAACAGCAGCGATTAAATTCCAATTAATAGGACAAAAAAATACAGAAGAACAAATAAATCCGAAATGCTACAAACACTGTATAAACTAATCAAACTATAAGTTTTCATGACCACGTAGCACAGCATTGTGAGTGTGAGAAGAGCAATTTTAAACACTCCCATCAACATCTCAAGACAGACTACACCAGTACAGGATGATGTACACTCATAAACATGCTACAGGTGCACACTCAGAACAAAATAAGCTCCTGGAAGATCTACAACCTTCCCAGTCGTCACAGCAGACATAACTTCACAGTGCAGCAACAATGACACCTGACGATCTCGGTCGAGAGTGGGGTAATGTTTTGAGATTGAATATTCACTCAAATACAAACAGACTGCTCACCGAAAGAGAGCTTGTTGAGTATGTTCCCATGTCCCACGGCATGCAGACCTTGACTACAGAACAGCATAGCCCTCTGGGAAAGACGACAATGTGCTGGAGGAATGCCACAATGAGCCAGCTAACCAAGTGAAAGTGCAAAGAAGAACTCTCATATTCTCACAAATACAAGAACATACATACATCATAACAAAACGGCTGAAAAATCCATCCACTCCAT